CTTTGGGGATATTACCTCTGACTTCCTAAAACACATTTAGGTTCTCTTACTCTTAACTATTTATGACATTGATGTGCTTTGGCTGTGAGATAAATTGAGCATTTTCATCTAACTTAACATTTTAAAACCTGGCCTTCATGATTTTGATGTAGTGGCTTTTTTATTTTAATATTTAAAAATATATTTGTCTCATAAATTACCCTGACCATGTTTAGGCAGCTTCCTAATTATAATTATATTCATAATATAAGTAGAGGTTTAGGACTAGTAATACTTAGTATCTCTTCCATGAATCAACATTATTTTGAAAGTTTTAGTTATTGCAATAAGGCAGGAGAACAAATTAGTAAATATAAATATTAAGAAATAACAGACAAACATATTTATTTGTAAATGATATAATTATAAAACCAAAACTCAAGAGTTTTTAGAAATGATTAGAACTAGGAGAATGTGACAAAGTGGCTGGATATAAAAATCAAGAATGTCTTTCTTCTAGGAATAATAATGTAAGGTGGAAATTTTTAAAACTCCATTCACAATAGTGACAAAATTAGAAAATGCCTAGGAATAAATTTAACAAAAATAGCAAAGGATGTAAGTAAAAATATGAACACAATTTTGGTAGCAGGTAATTTCACACTGCCATTCATTAATTAAAACTTCCCTTTTTCCCTGAATTGAAAAGCCAATTAGTCATATGTTAAGTATACCCTATGAGAGTTCTTAGCCAATGAAATAAAGGAAGAATCCCAAAATATGTATATGTGTGGGAAAGGAAAAAATAAAACTCTCATTATTCATAGACATAAAAAATTCAAAATAGTTTTCAGAAAAACTCCTAGAACGAATAAGTGAATTTAGCAAAGTTACTATCTATCAGTGTAAATATACTATACTAGTATAGTTACTATACTATCAATGCAAATATAAATTTTATTTCTATATAGCAGAAGCAGCAATTAGAAATAAAAATTTTTGAAAAACTATCATTTATAAGTATCAGAAAATGTACATGGATGTACAAAGGACTGAGAATAACTAAGACCATTCAGAAAAAGAACAACTCTGATGGGTTTAAACTTCTAGCTATTAAATCTTATTAAAGAGCTACAATAACACAGCATGAAATTGAAGTAAGTATAGGTAAATAGAGGTAGAGAACTGAGAGTGAGAAAGAGAGAAACTGTATTCTATAAATATATAAATAGAATAGAGAGTCCAGGAAGAGAGCCATACATCTGCAGTCCCATGATTTATGTTAGAAGTGACTGCTCAGTACAATGAGGAAGGAATAGTCTTTTCAATAAGTGAGTTGGGTCAATTGGAAATCTAAAAATAATGCACTTCAATCCTTACCTTACAGAATATACAAAATCAATTCCAAATTGATTGTAGAAACAAATGTAGAAGATAAAACAATAAAGCTTCTAGAGGAAATCATAAGAGAATGTCTTCATGACCTTGGAGGTGGCAAAGGTTTCATAAATAGGATCCACTTAAAAGGGTACCAGTCACAAAGGAAAGGCTGATAAATTGGACTATACTTCAGGATACCATTAAGTGGGTAAAATGGTAAGTCACAGCATGGGAGAAAATACTTATACATACCCCAAGAAAGACTGGTTTCTACAACATATTAAGAATTCTTGTATATGTCAACGAGAAAAAGACAACTCAGTATAAATTGGACAAAAGACTTGCACTTCAAAAAAGGGACCTATACATAAATCCGGAGTTATTAGTTGTCAAGAACATGACATTAAAAACATAAAATGATATTCGACACATGTAAAACACACCAAAATGGCCAAAATTTTAAACTGAAATTATCAAAGCTTGTGAAGATATGGAATATCTGTGAAGATATGGAATATCTGTGAAGATATGGAACCCATACACATTGCTAGTAGGGAGTGTAAATTAGAAAACTGGTAAAATCAGCGTAAATATGAATATACGCATACCCCATGGCCTAGCAAATTCCACTTTTATGTATATGCCTGACACAAATGTGTACCTACGTGCACCAAAAATGTGCTTATTCATAGAACCAAAATTTGAACTAACTCAAATGATTATCAACTGGAAAAATGAATAAATTGTGATACATTTGTACAGTGAAAACTATGCATCAATAAGAATGAACAAACCATTGCTACACTCAGAAACATGGATGAATGTTAAGAACATAATGACCAAAAAAGCCAGACACAAAAGAGTACATGTTGTACATTGTATGATTCTATTTATATACATTAAAAACAAAAAATATATGTAATATATGTGTATGTGTGTGTGTGTGTGTGTGTGTGTGTGTGTGTATACACACCTGATCAGTGACTGAGATGGAGCACTGGGGAGAGTCCTCAAGTACTGATTATGTTCTGTTTCTTGATCTGGGTGTTAGTTACATGAGTGTGCTCATTTTGAAAGTATATATATATGTATATATTCAAGTTGCATATGCATATTTATGATTTATCCACCTTTTCTGTCTATATGTTATAATTCAATCCGAAGTTTACATTTAAAAATGTGTTCAGCAATAGGAAAATATAGACTCTTATGTTTCAGCATATAGCAATAGCTGGAATTTGAAGTACTTGACTTGTCTATCAAAGGTCTTTAAATGCCCAGGGTGTCTAGAAAGGAAGGAGTAATAATACAAGGTTAGGTTCATGACATTTTAGGGTAATTTGTGTTCTCCTGAGGACCAACAAGGATTAATAATTCCTGGGTGACAACTGCTTTTATTTCATCTTTCTGATCTGCAGCTTTCACTTGTGGCCTCTATAAATAAACTAAGCAATTAATCTTCATCCTTTGACAACTGGCCACTTGTTTCTGGAGGTTCAATGACAAGGGTCAGAGGCCCAAATGCTCTATTTGTATCTAGTATATAAATTATGTCATGAAGATAACTCTAATGTTAAGTAAAAATTAACTTGGCCACTCTGGTTTTTTAAAAAGCCATTCCTGTCTTTAGCATGGGAAGAATTCCACAATAGAAGAGATGTAGCACAAAAGAAAATACAAATATTTTAATGCTAATTATTATTTCTTTCTATACTACTTTGAAAATAAACTGCTAAAGGGTATTAAATTGGACATGAGTTAATTCATCACTATAAAATAGGTGGAATGTTTAGTGCAGTTAAATAACAATGAGATACAACCAAAATAATCATGGTAAATGCATATATTTTCAACCTATTAATAAACCTGTTACTGTTAGCTTTCCAAAATGTTTCCATTTGTTTTCTTAATAAACAATAATAGTTAAATAACAAAATAGCAATAACAATTTGTAACCTTCCATAATATGTTACCTTGGATGTAGGGAAACCTTCATATATTGCTGGTTGAAATATAATTGCCACAACCTATTTGGAAAATAATTCTGGCAATAAATGTTAAAATGTCAAAGGTAAACACCTTTTGACTAAATAAAACAACTTTAGTGAATCAGTAGTACAGAAATTAAAAGCACTTGTAACCAAGGATATATATAAATAGTCAAGCAAGTGCAAAATACAAGAAGCAACCCGTATGGAGAATAATTCGATAACTCACAATACAGCCAGCCCATGAATTGTTATGTGGCCATTAAATAGGATGTGTTCAATAATGGTAATAATATGTAGCCTTTATGGAGTGATCATTGTGTGCTAGGCACTACTTTAAGTGTTTTATATATGTATATAAACTCATTTAATCCTTGTAACAACAAGAAGATATAGGAACTATTATTGTTTGTATTTTATGGATGAAGAAATTAAAGTTCAAACAGATCTAATATTTTACCTGGCCTCACATAGCTGGTATGTGGTGAGGACTGAATTTAAACCAGACAGTCTCATCTTACTGCAGAATGCACACTCTTAACCTCCATGTAGTTATTCTGCCTCCCTGAATTGATTAAGGTGGGATTTCTCTTATGTTAATATATAGTTAATTTAAAAAGCAAATAATGGAAACTTAATTATTCCGTTTTTTACAAAAGAAAAAAAGCCATTATAGAAGGTTACTTCCCAATTTGGAAACATTGATTGCATTAGGATTGATCAAAGAAGGGAAATAGTATTAATTTTTTATTTATTCACCTCTCTATTGTTTGAAGTTACAGAAGGCACTGGAATGCTTTGCCATTTTTTTAATCCAGTAAAGTGAAGAAAAAGTTAACAAAAACCAGACTCCAAATGTGATATTCACATTTAGGTTTGTTATGCTTTCTTGAGAATAAAAGGAATGAATGGTTCATTTAACAAACAGACAAGAAATTAATAAAAACTCGTCCTCTAATTTCTTACCAGGATTCAGACCCACAAGGCTCTAATTCGCTGTGGTCATTCTATATGGCATTTGCTCATTCATCTTCAAAAGCATTTATCTTGATCAGCATGAAGTGGGTCCCCAGTAAACATTTGTTTTCTTTCCTTCATTTTTTTCCTCTCTCCCCCTGCCCTCCTTCAATCAAATAACCAATGCTGTGACCACAAAAGCAATCTTTATTTTCCATTTTTCAGCCTGCATAGAATGAGTCTGGCTGCACTAGCTCTCGGTGGTGGTAACCTGGTGACTCTTTCAGATGGAGTGATTTCCAAGCATGATTTGTTGTTCCTTCCCTGGTCACTGTGGCAAGACTGTGACACAGGGGGATGTTTTTTCAACAGGTCAATCTGTTATAAAGGAAAGCATTTCTTAGAGCTGGGCCACAAGTCCTACATTTGGAACCATGTGCAATGACTATATAAATATAAATAGTCCATATTTTTAGAAGTATTTGCTATTTTATAGGCTAATCTGTGAATCTTGAGAGGATATAGAATGATTTATGTGACATTTCAGCAATGTAGAGATACGGAACTTTGTGCCTCACTAAAGCACAAAAGTTAACTATCTTTCACATGAAATTGGTATTTGAGTATTTCGAGAATTGTACTTAGTCAACAGTTTGAAACAATGCATTTCATGAACTCTTTTATGCTTTTTCTCAGATCCCATTTGATATCTCACTTCCATCTATAATCGACCTTGAGAGACTTTTTGATCTTGCTAATGGTTGTATTGTATCAGGAGGAAGCCTTTTCAACTGGATGGTGTCGATTATTCCTGAGTATTCTTTCTAAGGTAACCTTATAAAGGATTTAATAGTTATTGTTTCTCTTGGTTTGAAATAAGTTTCTGGAACCATACTCTTATAACAACCAAAATGAAATTGTTTTCTGATACAAGCTATATTTCTTTAAAAACTATAATTCCAAGGAGTGTTTTCCAAGGTATTTGAATTAAATGCTGTTGCTTATTAAAACTATCTTACAGAGCTATTCATAGAAAATGAGTTTGCACACCATGCAGCTATTCCCATGATTGTAGTAGTTTATATTTAGGTTGTCTTTAGACAGGTCCATACAGCAAGATTGGATTAAACCAGTGACTCTTATCTGGGAGCGATTTTGCCCTTAGGTGACATCTGACAATGTCTGGAGACATTTTGGGTTGTTATAACTGGTGGAGAGTACTAGTGGCATCTAGTGGGTAGAGGCCAAGGATGTTGCTAAACATTTTACAATGCACAGGGCAGCCCCCCACAACAAGGGACAGTCCAGCTCAAAATGTCAGTAGTGCTAGTGTTGAGATACCCTGGATTAAACCTTAACATGTGGCAAGTTCAACTTTGGACGTTTTTCCACAGGGCTTGGGAAGAAATCTGTAGCAAATTAGACCTTCCATATTTTATACTTCCTAGAGACAATGTTGCATAGAATTTTAGAGCACCAGCTTTGGAATTATATAGATCTGCCTGGGTTTGGATAGTAACTTCATCACTTGCAAGCTTTGCTACTTTAGGGAATTAAATTTTTAAGCTTTCATTTCCTCATCTGTAGAATGGGGATATTAATATTTATCTCACAGGATTACTGTGTGTGTTAAATTAAGTGAGATGGAATAATAAGGTGCTTAGCACAATGGCTGATATAGTAATAGAGTGCTAAGAGTATCATTTCCCAGCCAAACTGGAAGAGGACCATGAGTCTCTGACTCATTTTGTCTAGCATCTAACAATGCCACACATGAATGCTTCCCAACTGTTCGTCCATGAATGGATGGATGGATATTCATGCTATATATATATATATATATATATATGTATATATATATATATAAATATATATATAAATAAAACATAAATGTGTTTTTCTAAAGCTAAATTGGTTTAATATATTACCCTTTATTCTGAGATTATGAATTTCCCACTTTATACTGGTGTTAAAAAGGCCCTTCTTTTATGAAGCAATGGTAATAGTAGCTGGTAACTGGCATTTTAAAATAGTCTTACTTACTTGATCCTTGAGATACTTTACTTAAAAAAAAAGAAAGAAAGAAAATGAAAATAGTCTCACTAGATAATAAAAGAAAAAAATAGCAGCCTTATGTTGGTTCCTAATTTTTTAAACATAGACATTCATGAAGTTCCAAAGTCTGAGAAAAACCAAGCTATTATAGAATTATCCTAGAATACTACAGAGAGAAAATGAGTCTTTAACAAAGCATTTATGGATAAAAATGATTTTAGTGTTTGAAAATTTGCTAAAAAAATTTGCTAGAAGTGGAGACACTATAGAAGAACAGAGGCATAAAAATGAAAATATATAGGATACATGGACTTGCCTACTACTTATCTGGAGTATGCACAGTTATGGAGAATAAGCTCTAAGAATGAACTAGAATGAAGACTTTGGAATTGAATCAGTAGATGATAGGGTACAGTTACAGGTGACTGAGGAGAAGAGTGACAAGTAGACATTTAATAAATGTTGGGTGAGTGAAAGCAATGAGTAGAATGAATGATGCCATGGCCTCCAGGGAAGATAAGAATGCAAAGTGTAATGGAAGGGAAAAAAACAAAAGGCAAGAAGACCAAAAGGAAGCCATGTTGTAATGAAAAAGAAAGAGAAAAGAAAATATTTCCTGGCCAATTCAGAGGAAAAAATGCCTTGCCTGATGACTATACCCTCATATGAAATAAAGTTTGATTCAAACAGAAAAGCCATTTGGATGGTGATGGCTTTTATGTGGCAAAGGCTTCCAAGTCCTTTGGCCTGGGGCTGAGGTTTAAAATGTTTTCTGCTGGGTTAGAGAACACTTTGAAGGATTTGAGTTTTTCGATATTGGAAGTTTAACTTATTGTGCAAAGTTTGGCTATCAAGGGCAAGAAAGGCACACAGATTACCTATTTAATACAGGTGTGATTCACCCTGTTAATTTCCCATGAATGTGTATGCCCATCTTCTGTTCTTTGTCACTCTTAAGCTTTTACTAGTTGAATGCTTGCACACACTCCATGGCTCTGGGAAATTGAGAAGTCAAGGGAGAGGACATAGCTGAGCCTTAAGGTAAAATTGGACCACCTGTCATCTGCCCCAGGAGCAGATTTTCAAAAATAACTTGTAGAATGAATAGATGCCCCAAGAAAGCATGGGGGATGGGTCCCCAGTGTTGTCTGTGCCAATATATTGGTTTCCCATGGGGATGGCAGGTCTCTTCCAACTATAGCAGATAATATAACATTTCAGAACATTTTTAACTTTTTCTCCAGTTTCAGTTACTTACAGATGCTGTTATTCTTGGGTGTTGTTTTGCCTGAGAGAAACACTGTCTAAAACTGCACCAGACCACACAGTCACAGTTTCCCCATTTTAAGCTATCATTCCAGAAATTTCTCATCTCTTCTAAAATGGGAGCAACACTCACTAGTTAAAGCTGTAACTTTCTGTGCAAGGCAGTGAGGAAATGATGATGAACTGGGCTTACGTACAAACAAAAAGAAAATTCAAAATCTACCAGGATGAAAGATGTGTTTAGTTCCAGAAATGTCTTTCAGGTTTTATTTTTTAAAAGACCAAACTACACAATTTGCAGCTGCTTTTTTTTTTTTTTAATGAAATATACAGTATCTGCAAATGGTTTATAGCAGACACCTGTGATGTTTTCTATTTGTTTTAATTATAACAGGGAATGACAGGAGGCAAACTGAAATGGAGAGAGGAAGGGAAACAGACAAAAAGGGAGGGAAACTTGGGAAGGGAGAGAAAAAGCACCAGTGCCAGCAGCTAAGTGATAGGTAATAAAACCTCATCGCTTCCCGTATCTTTCTCCATACCAATCTCCAAAAGATTGCTGTAGAAATTGACCACCTGCCAGCTGTTCAGAGGCTCAAATGCAGTGGCATTCACTTAATATGTAGGCACTTTACACATTCCCCAGCCCAGCTGACTTGTTCTCCTTCACTGAATTGCAGGCAAAAAATATATATATTTCTGGAAAGTACTAGAAATTTGGTTTCTGCCTCTCGTCTACATTGCCCTTCCTTCCCCTTCTGGACATTATGCAAATCCCTCCATGCCAGTTTGAAAGACTATGATGCACAAGGGTGTCTGCCTGTCAGGACTCCTAGGACATTTCCAGGTGCCCTTCTCATTTGGCTCTGTTAACAGTGCCCTTTGGCACATGGTTTTATGCTGTTATCTTTTCATGGCCTTATTATAACCTTAGCTCAAGGACGTCATGAGCATGTGAGCTTGTCCCACATTCCTTTGGGTTTCATTCAGTTTGAGTCTGAGTACATCGTTTCTCCTAATGTATCTTGGAATTTACAGGCTGTCCATAAAGCCTGGAATGTTAAGTGAACTATACATAATGTCACCAAGGAGATCTTCAATCCATAAAACAATTAGATATTATTATTTATTTATTTTTTATGAACCATGTGGGCATAAGATTGAATAAGCCCCTACCTGTGGGTTAGGAGAGAAAACAGTGGACCCAGAAGTCCATTGCTTAACTACTCTTTTCTCTCATTTGAACTGCTTGTGGTATCCCACAAGAGGAGCTCCTACCCGTGTGTCCAAGAAGGCTTGTGCAAAATGTTCATTGACACGTTGACTATGATGGCAAAAAAAAAAAAAGAAAACCTACTAAATAACCCTCAGGTGGAGAATGGATAAATAATAATGGTGTGCTCACATAAGAGGATATTATATAGAAGTTATAAATGAATAAATAATAGAATTCTAAACAATATTCATAAATGAATTAATAATACAGACATATCAATCTGAATTCACATCAAAAGCAAGCTAAGCAAAAGAAAAAAGTGTTGCAGGAGGGTATATATAGGAGGTTATTATTTTTATATATAAAGTTTTAAAATGGGTGAAATGAGATAATATAGTGTTTATGGTTATATACATATATACTAAAAAAAAATTTTCAACCCAAGTTAACGGTTGACACCAAATTCAAGCTTATGGCCCCTCTTAGATGAAGGAGGGAGAATGAGCTCTAAGAAGAATGCTAAAGAGGTTTCATTTGTATTTGTAAAATTTTCTTCCTTAAGCTGAATGCTTTTTATATCAGTCTCTACTTTTTTTTGTGCACGTAATATTTTTCATAAACTAAAAATAACACATCGTTCACCTTTCTCATCTTTTTGGCTGCCAAGCTTTGCATGGTTTTTGGCTTACCTATCAAGAAATAACTATTAAATATGAGCTAGGATTCTGCTCATTGTATAACTGTAATTGAGTAGTTCACATCTGGTTCTATTATTTTGGGTTTAATGACAACTAAAACTCATTTTGAAACTAATGTTAAACTATATACATATGCCCAATTTTAGAAAACTCAATCTATGAAAATATTAATTTTTAATATAAGATAGTAGAGCCTTAATACATGTTTAATTAAATTGAGGCAGATTCCCTGTGCAATTTCTATCAATTGTTAAGTTCCCTCGTTATATTTTAAACCATTTGATTTTCTAAAATTAGATATATGCAGAACTTTTTACATGACTGCCTATTATGCAAAATGAGGTTCACTTGTAAAATCCATCTACCATCCATAATTTCAATGTTTTAAAAACTATATTAAGAAAGAAGTTTCTCTTTACCAAAGATTCATTTCCTATTTTCGCTTTCCGCTTCAGTAGAGCCATATAAATTGCAACTTTGACTCTAAAATTTCCATGGCAACAGACATTTTTTTGTCATAAACACAGGCATGATTAAGAAGAATGCTTTGGTGACAGCAGTTTTCTTCATAATTAAATTCATTAGTTAAAAAGC